CACACACATACATACACACACACACACACACACACACACACACACTTGAATTGATCTGCCGGTCGCTAGGCTTGGTTGCTTCTTCAGCTTACGTTGTGCAGTTGCCATGGCAACTGGCTGATGGGGTCACCAGGGGTCAGGAGAAGAAAGTACAATGTGCTGAAAGGCTTGAGTGTAACAAACCCTTCGACTGGTATTATCAAACACAAAGGACCCCTGAAAATGTGTCCAGCAGTGCAATCACTGGAAATACGGATCAGTGGATAAATAAATAATATGGATCACCAGATAAAGACATATGTGGAAATGCAATACTGAGTTGAGAATTATTTTGGTATCACTTTACAATAAGGTCCCATCAGTGAGCATTAGGGATGTACATCTCCATAACTGAGGCTGATGCGATACGCATCTCGATGCAGAGCCAACGATACGATACATTAAAGATACATATGAAGCAGCTACCAATGTAATACGATACGATTCATCCCTATTACGATGCAATGCGATCCGATTTCGATTCAACACAATGCGATTCCATGCAATTCAATGTCAATATGGTACAGATAGTTCATTTTATTTCTTTGGTTCAGATAGACAGCAAATCAAAAATAAACTGACTTCTAACGCCTCGGTCTTCGTAGTGTTGTGATACGTCATATTCACGTAGCAGCAGTGGTGATAAAAGCTAGAACGTGCCTGAGAAACAGTTTAGAAAGAAGAAATCAATCGACATATAAAATATTGGTCACTTTCAAATGCATTAAACAGCACAAATGTATTCACTGTTTGCCGTGGTGGATTGATTTGATCCATGATCGACATTAAGGGCTGCTTGAGAGTAAGCGTGCACAAATTAGTGAGATTGCGCGAACTTAAATAGTCGTTTATGGAACCGCTTCAGCCCCGATTGATTTGTTAGGTTATTTCACTAAGGTTTTGGACATTAATCCCCGCTTGTCTTAGCATCTTTTATGAAACAGGCCTCAGGTCTCCGTAGTGTTGTGATTCGTCAGATTCATGCAGCAGCACCAGTGATGAGAGAACACGCTTGAGAAACAGTTCAGAGAGGAGAAATCAATCTACATATAAAATATTGGTCACTTTCTAAATAATAAAAGTATAGTGCATCTACTAATAATTATATATAAATGAATTGGTTCTTACCGATGCAAATATGTTAGAAACGATGCATCGTGATACAAATGCCAACTTGTATCCAATGCACACTTCTTTTAAATCGATGCATCGTATCGTTAACTTTTATGTTGATGCATCGATGCGAATCGGTGAATCTTACCATCCCTAGTGAACATTGGTTAATGCATTAACTAACAATGAGCAATAGTATATTATTAATAGTAGTATATTAACGGTTCATTTCAGTTCATGTTAACTCAGGTCCATTAAATATTGAGATATAATTTTGATTTGAATAATGTATTAGTAAATGGTGAAATCTAAGATTCATAAATGATTTATGAATTATTATTTCAGTATTTTTCATTGTTAGTTCATGTAAACTAATGTTAACAGATGGAATCTTATTGTAAAGTGTTACCATTATTTTATCTGAATACCTAAATGGTGTATTGCAAAAATATGACGCAGCAGCTGTTTTCAACATTTATAATAATAAGAAACATTCCTTAAGCAGCAAATCAGCATTTTTTCACGATTTCTGAAGGAACATGTGACACTGAAGACTGGAGTAATGATGCTGAAAATTCAGCTTTGCATCACAGGAATAAATTACATTTTAAAATATATTCAAATAAAAAAACCTTACTTTAAATTCTAATAATATTTCACAATATTACTGTATTTTTGATCAAATAAATGCAGCCTTGGTGAGTATAAGAGACTTCTTTCAAAAATATTAAGAATTCTACAAACCCCAATCTTTTAAACAGGCATGTATTTGACTGCAGAATGCAGCAACTGACCAAAAAACAACATTATTTGCATGTTGTTTCAGGAGTTTAACCCTGAAGAGTTCTACCACCTACTGGAGGCAGCAGAAGACCACGCTAAAGAGGGCCAGCTAATGAAAGCAGACATCCCGCGATACATCATCAGCCAGCTCGGCCTGACCAGAGACCCTCTGGAAGGTGAGAGACGAACACCACTGAACATCCTCACACAGCGAGAGCGTTTGTCTCTGGAGGGAAAGAGCGTAGAAGAAGCCGGAGAGAGGCAGGGAAATGTAGGTCATGCTGAGAGACATTGTTGAGATTATGGAGCAGGTTAAGGTGGGGTGCACAGGCGGTGAGAAGTTTGTATTCCTGCCAAGAAAGCAGGGAAATGTGTAAGCACCGCTGTGAACCTGGCAAACAGCAGCCGGCTCTTGAGTAATGGGGCTTTTTATAAAAACACACACTTACTCTCTCGCACTGCACAATTAAACACAACACAACACTTTTCAGGCAGAAAATGCACTCTGAATATCTTTGAATGTTGCTCGGTCTATTCAGTTAAAGCTGAAGTGTGTGTTTTCTCTTCTATCCCAGCTTAATTTACAGATATATGTAAGAGGTTTCTATGTTCATTTCCACGATATAAACAATGTGACTCAATGCTCTGTTTGTTTCAGCATCTCACCAGCTCTAATTAGTAGCATTGGCTCAACCAGTAGCGTTGAGTTTAGGCTATTGACTGACTAATGGAAGACTGGGGTAGCGTTTGAAAAACAATCATTATTTTTGCAATTCAGTTTAGTGCATCAAATCAGCATATTAGAATGATTTCTGAAGGATCATGTGACACTGAAGACTGGAGGAATGATGCTGAAAATTCAGCTTTGATCACAGCAATAAATTTCATGTTATAATATATTCAAATAGAAAATAGTTATTTTAAATCGTAATAATATTTCATAATGTTACTGTTTTTACTGTATTTTTGATTAAATTAATGCAGCCTTGGCGGGCAGAAGAGACTATTTTCAAACACATTAAAAAATCTTAATGACCCCCAAACATTTGAACAGTAGTGTATGTTATTATTATTATATATTTAATTTGATTTGACTAGAAATTTGTGGCTGATAATTGTACTAAAAACTTAAAAAATGAAAATGTCAACTAGTTTCTCAAACAGCACATTTATGTAATTTTATTCCTCGAAGGCCGTTAATTGTATTGCAATTCAGTTTAGTGACACTAATAGCACAGATATTACACAATTTAATTTAAAATGTAAACAGTGAACTTTAATTGAACATTCAACTTAATTTAGTTAACTTAATTTCATTGCATTCAATGAGTGTAACATGTATAGCTAATCCTTTTCATTTGGGACTGTATGCATCATTTTCATTGTTGTTTTTATTGAATATGATTATGTCCTAATGAGATTTCACAGATCTGTGAATGCAGTTTTAAATCCTGCACTGCTCTGCATGTCATCCAGCTTTAGTTGGATGCTGTGAAACTGCATCCCTGGGAAAACAGATTTCACTCGGGTCTGTGAAATTGCAAAGACTCGTTTCAGTCCCCTCACTTCATTTTCTGGCTGCACAAGATGAAATGAAGTTTAAAATTATTTTCTATATGGTAGTTTATTGAACTCAGCTAGAGTCTGACAAAGAAAGTGCTGTTTTAATTGCTGCTTTAGAGCTTGTTTGTGTTTATTTCAGTGTTGTTTATTTATATCACAGTCTTTATTTAGATCAGTGATGCTTAATTTTTCTCTCTAGAATGGATGGTTGCTGTGGCGACTGGAGGTGTTGTTTTTAGACTTGATTAGGCATTATGCTGCTGAATTGCTCATAGACAGGCAGATGGCTAATTATTTATGAATGTTAGATAAGATTCTTTTTTCGAAAGAAATTAATACATTTATTCAGCAAGGATGCATTGATCAAAAGTGTAAGTAAAGATGTTTATAATGTTACAAAAGATTTCTGTTTCAAATAAATGCTGTTCTTTTGAACTTTTTATTGATCAAAGAATCCTCATAAAATGTATCACGGTTTACATAATGTTTTTTTAATACATTGATAATAATCAGAAATGTTTCTTGAGCAGCAAATCAGCATATTAGACTGATTTCTGAAGGATCGTGTGACACTGAAGACTGGGAAAAAAATCAGCTTTGCATCACAGAAATAAATTATATTTTAAAATATATTCAAATAGAAAATAGTTATTTTAAATTGTAATAATATTTCATAATTTTACTGTTTTTATTGTATTTTTAATCAAATAAA